TTTGAAAATGAATGTTTTTATCCATTTCTCAGTTCATACATTTTTTATGACATTTTATTTCCACAGCAGAATGAACCGCCAACAAATCCAGCACATGTTTTTACTTCCAGCCGCAACCCAACACTGGGAAACACCCATACACTCTTGCACACACATTCACAACGGCCAATTCAGTTTATTTATTTCACCTATACCACATGTCTTTGGACTGTGGGGGAAACCCATGCGAACACATGCAAGGGGAGAACATGCAAACTCCACACAGAAATGCCAACTGACCCAGCCGGGGTTTGAACCAGCAAACTTCTTGCTGTGAGGCGATCATGCTACTCACTGCGTCACCCCATCACCCCATTTCTCAGTGAATATAATATATATTGGTGCAGTTGAACGAAACTGATTTATTAAACAGAATTATTTATTAAAATTATATTTTAGTCACAAACATTTTTAGCAATAGAAAGATTTAGATCATAGAAATTATTTAAGATATAGATCATAGAAATTATTATCTATACAAAGTACATTTAAATCATGCGAAATATTGAAAAAAAAATTAAACACATATAAATTTGGGTGTATTCATTTTGGGCCATTATCCTAAATAGGGCCACTATCATGAGTTAAGTTACCATTATCATAAGTTATTTTGTGACATTAACTCCAGATATGGCTTTAATGCTGACTAAACTAATAAAGCACAAATATAATATAGTTCAAGCTCGTTTATTCATTTTCTTTTCGGCTTAATCCCTTAATTAATCTGGGGTCACCACAGCGAAATGAACCACCAACTCATCCAGCAAATGTTTTACCCATGGGATGCCCTACCAGCCACAACCCAACACTGGTAAACACTCATGCAAACACTACAGCCAATTTAGCTTATTCAGTTCACCTATAACTACTGCATGCCTTTGGGGAAAACCAGAGAAATGTCGACTGACCCTTGCTGTGAGGCGATTGTACCCACTCCGCCACTGACACCCTACAGCAAAGCTTCCTACAGAAATATTCATTTAAATTTGTGAGGGGTGTGCTCATATATGTTGGGCACTGTATAATGAAAAAAATTATAAATCTAGATTAATAATAAAACAACGTCTTAATCCATTATTTATTTATTTATTTATTTCAAATAAAATGTATACAAGGGGGCGAGGCAGTGGCGCAGTAGGTAGTGGTGTCGCCTCACAGCAAGAAGGTCGCTGGGTCGCTAGTTCGAACCTCGGCTCAGTTGGCGTTTCTGTGTGGAGTTTGCATGTTCTCCCTGCATTCGCTTGGGTTTCCTCCGGATGCTCCGGTTTCCCCCACAGTCCAAAGACATGCGGTACAGGTGAATTGGGTAGGCTAAATTGTCCATGTATGAGTGTGTGTGTGTGTGTGTTTGTGTGAATGTGTGTGTGGATGTTTCCCAGTGATGGGTTGCAGTTGGAAGGGCATCCGCTGCGTAAAAACTTGCTGGATAAGTTGGCGGTTCATTCCGCTGTGGCGACCCCGGATTAATAAAGGGACTAAGACGACAAGAAAATGAATGAATGTATACAGTAATGATCGAGTTTTACACAAGGTGGTGCCGTTGTCTACCTTCCTATGATGTTTCAGATTTAACAGTAGACTTTGCAAAACAACTTTTTGTTGCATAACAAAATTATGTTTATGACTGTCGGCAGATTAAAAATGACAATTTTCATAAAATGATTTATATTTCATAATAATTATACAATAGTAACATAATGATGAGTTAGGTAAATGGTAAAAAATAACTATATATTTAAATAATACTAAAATAAAATTAATTCAAAACATATTAGGTAAAAGAAGCCAATAGCAAAATGCTGTGATATGTTTTAAAGGGAACAAACAACGTCTTCAAACTTAAATGTGAATCATGAATATCACAAATAACAAACTGTAATGGGTTTGATGTGATGAAATATCACATCAACCAAATGCTTGCATGCATATTATATTTAAAAACATAATAACAACATTTCTTGTTTGTTTCTAAACACTTTTTACCTTTTAATATTGCATATTAAAAATGGGGTCATTATATAAGAAAATCTCCTGAATATGATTTAAATGCACAAGAAATACACCTTCAAATGTTTACATCTGAATATATTTTTGTTTATAAATATTGGATTAACTTTTTGTTAAAATTAAATTATCTTTAATTTAAAAACTCACTTAAAAAATGGTCCTATAGGAATGTGGCTTCATTGTGTTATAGCTTGTTTTGAAGAAATGTTTTTTTGAAATAGTTATGAAGCAAATGACTTGCCTTTTAAGTGTTTTCAAATATAAATAGTATTTCTTTACTGCTTACTGGTTAAAAGAATGAATATTATTATATAGCATATTAGTGGGATATATTCTAAACTAAATATAGGCTTATTTTAATTCAGAAATGGGGTGTTTGGTATAACAAATGAAAATAGTAAATAGTTTTCTAAATATAAATAACATTTAAAACAACATGGCTGCTTGAAATTCACCTGAGTCAATAATAAAATACCAAAAACAATGCAATGTTCCAAAATGATCACCTAAATATGATTTATGATATTCAATTAAAGCAAATAAATTTTGAAGCTCATGTTCTTCATTAAAATAATAAAACAAGATATAATAAAGTAAAATATGATACACACAATGCACATTACAGGTTTTATCTTTAGGCTGTAGAATACATTGTCAAAATAACAGTTATTGATCTTGAATTAAAAGACAAACATTTTTATGGATCCATAAGTAGTTCATCTCATTCACTGCTCTCTTTTTGTCCACTTTAATCATGCTGAGACCATTCATTCAATCATTTTCTTTTTGGCTTGGTCTCTTTATTAATCAGGGGTTGCCACAGCGGGATTAACTGCCAACTTATCCAGCAAATATTTTACGCAGCAGATGCCCTTCCAGCTGCAACCTAATACTGGGAAACACCCATGCACTCTTGCCTTCACTGTGGAGGAAACCATGCCAACCACGGTGAAAACTGGCAAACTCTACACAGAAATGGCAACTGACCCAGCCGGGGCTTGATTCAGCGAACTTCTGGCTGTGAGGCGATCGTGCTACCCACTGCGCCACGCTTAAACCACATCTTCAAAAACTACTGAAAGAAAGGTTTTTATTTGAAAATTTGCAAATATGAATATGAAATCAAAATAATAAAATAATCATAATGAAGATGAATGAAGTTTTTAACAATTATAAAACTTTGTATTTCCAGAAAACAAAATTGGCATGTGCCTTTTCCTTAAAAATAGACACAATAATAATTGAAAGTGAAAGTGTGGGGTAATGTTTCCAAATGTAAACAACAAAAAGAGTATTCAACATCAATATTATCTCTTTTAAACTCTCTGAGATATCATCCCAGATAACAGCTAAAGTGCTCAGCATATATGAGCATATATAACACCCACCACAAATCTCTCATTTAAATGAATATTTTCTATAGGATGCTATACAATATTATATTTGTGCATATACTTTACATTAGTTTAGTCAGTACTGAAGCCAAACCTGGAGCTAATCTAACAAAATAAATTAAAACAATGGTTAAAATGTTGGTAGCCCAAGTGTGTATGTTAGTGGAAAATATGAAATAACGTTTTCAAGAATAGCAAAAATAAAAAATAATAAAAAATTAAACAATATTGTTGAAATGTTGTAGTTTGTAATTTTTTTTTACAATATTTTGCATGAATTTAAATGTATTATCTTTCCATTTCTAGAGATGTTCTTTGACTAAAATATTATTTTATTAAATATACCTGTTTAATAAATCTGTTTTGTTCAAATGCACCAATATATATTTTCTATATTCACTAAGAAAAGCGGAAAAAATAATTTTCAAAGTGGGCTGTACTCAGTTATACTGAGCACTGTATTGTTGCACATTTAAACAGTACATTTTAAAAGTTAAACATAACATTAGAAGAGATTATGAGTACAACAGTAAATAAAAAAATAAATAAAAAAATAAAAAAATTTGCATTTAAAAAAAGAAAACGTTAGATATTATTACTCAAAAGGTTAATTATACATTTTTAGTTTTTACAATTGTTTGTTGTAAACATTTTGTAGAAAATTCGGAATGAACCACCAACTTATCTAGCACGTTTTACGCAGCAGATGCCCTTCCAGCCGCAACCCATCTCTGGGAAACATCCACACACTCATTCACACTCATACACTATGGACAATTTAGCCTACCCAATTAACCTATACCACATGTCTTTAAACTGTGGGGGAAACCGGAGCACCCGGAGGAAACCCACGCAAACAAAGGGAAAACATGCAAACTCCACACAGAAATGCCAACTGACCCAGCCAAGTCACTTTCTTGCTGTGAGGCGACAGCACCTACTGCACCACTGTGTCGCCTGCTAATCATGTTTTTTATATATTTAGTCATTATGATTGATGTAAGTTGAGATGACTAGAATAGTTCATTTGATTCAACTAAACAAAGTAGGCAAGATTTTTTTTTACAGTGAGGGGTGCAAATTGGGCAACATTTCTATTCCTTCCGCTTATTCCATGCTCTATCAGGGGTCGCAACAGTGAAATGATACTCAGGTTACTTTTCACGGCATATATTTGATTGACACAATTGATGATTGGTCATTTTTAAAATGCATTTAAATGCAATTCTTTTACTTTGTTAGAAAAACACAACTAATAAAGTTAGGCTAACCTTTTCCCAATTAGCTTTATTTTATCTATTAATGAATTCCAGATATATTTTTCCCAAGGACTGATTCTTTTCTTTGACTGAAACACACATTCACTCTTTTTTATTATTATTATTGCCACATTATCGTCTCATTGCGTAACGATGACGTGCCTCTCGCTCCGTGTTGATGCATGGCGTCACGACATGCTCTCCTCGCCCCGCCCCTCGCGTTCCCCTCTGTGTTGTTTCCGCATAATTAGACGGAATCCCCGCCCAGCCCGAGCTCAGGCTGCCTGCGTTGTTTGGGGACAGTCCGAAGATGGCGACGGCCCAGCTGTACTGCGTCTGCCGGCAGCCGTACGACGTGAGCCGGTTTATGATAGAATGCGACATTTGTAAGGACTGGTTTCACGGCAGGTAAGAAATCTAGCGTTTTCTCCGCCGTATGATGTGAGGGAAGGCAAACAAAAACGCCCGTGTGTGGCATTTTGGGTGTCAGAAATTCGCCGTCCGCTGGTCTCGGTCTCTCGCTCGCACCGAGGCGATTTCACGCGCTGCTTTGTCAACATTTCCAAGCGTTGATAAACGTTTATTAGTAATTTCCTAACACACATGCTAGCTTTGCCTGTTTGCTAATTCGATCCCAAATGGCTTTGTTATTGTTTTGTAGTGATATTAAGTGTGTTTTTTCATTGCTTCTCCGACAGTTCAGTGTAAACGGGTTCACGCAGGGTTTCTCGGTAGCTTTGTGGCTAGGAGTTGCAGGGCATCAGCTGACATTAACCCCTTGTGTGGTTTTATGTCAGAGGTCAGTAAATATCTCTGCTTTGACTTGGTTGTTGTTGTGCACGTGAGACGTCAAGTGAAGATTTATAATGGGCATTTAAAATTTGAGTTAACGCTCTGTACTTGTCGTAAAGCTAAATATTAAAATCCTGGGATAAGAAGCTAAAAGTGTTAAAATTGTATCGCCTATGATTTTTAAACTTAAACTAAGCCGTGATCGATTTGGTGCCGAAGTATGGAGCTTGTGCACAGTTGCTTTCATCTTCGTTAAAGGGATTGTTCACTCAAAAATGGAAATTTGCTGTTTAGTTAATCAACTTCTGGCTATTCAAGCTGTAGGCACGGGTGAATTTAACCAATAAGTAAGATAAGCAGCCGCTTAGGGCCTCAGAAACTCTGGGGGTCCAGAAATAAATGCCTAGAAGTATAAATGATATCTATAACTTATATGTAGCATTGATTCTATTATATTATGAACAGTAAGGGTTTTAACTTGATTAACTTAACTTAATTATTACATCTGTGCAAATGTGTCCCCCACCTTCAATCATGGACGAGTCCAGCAGTCAATTCAGTACATATTTAGTTAAAAAAAAAATTTAGTTGTGATGTGAATTCATTTTAAGAAAACAAATAGTTTCAAAAGTTTTACATGATGCTTTATTATTATTTTGCATTTTAATACTTTCGGGGCCCCATTGATGGAATTGCTTGGGCCCCAAAATTATTAAATCCACCCCTGGATGTAGGTGACTCTTTTATTTATTTAGTAGAACATCAGAGATAATTTAAACTGACACTGGTCCTTTACAATAAAAAAAACAGCTTCTGGCACTTTTAGAGTAAAAAAAAAAGACATACAAGCAACCCGACATTATCACCTCTGTTTTCTGACTAATGTCATCTGATGTAGGCATTGAATGATAACAGTTTTCAAAATTTACAGCAGTTAAATTTTTTTTTTTTTAAATTTCTGCTATACCTTTTCCAAGGTATATGTAAGATTTTTATTTACATTTTTTTTGGTTGTATTTAAGACAACAGTTTCTCCAGCAGAAAAGATATTCAAAAATTCTGATCAAAATGGTAAGGAACGGTTTATTTAAATTATTTAGACTGACATGTTTACTGTAACAAAATATTATAAATGTTTAAAAAATATTATAAATGAAAAATATTCATTTTTTACAGTGAATATTTAAAAAAAATATTCAAAAAAAATTTTTTTACTTAGACATTTAAAAGGAATATATTTTAGAGCAGTAATCACAATACCATGAAACCATAATATTTTTATCCTAAAAATGCAAAACTCATCATTATTAACATTTAAAATCTTGCCAAACAATTTTGAGTCTTGAGCTGTTCATAATCGTCTGTATTGTGACCTTGCTGTCGTGTAATGAAGGTTTTTTAATTGGTTTTTAGTTGTTTATTGAAATGTAGCTTGTGCTTCTTCTAGATTATGGAATGGGTTTTTATAAAGTTGTAAATTAAACTTTGTTTTTAATGCACATATGTTGCATCTGCACATGTGTCATTATGTGATAAGAAGTTTGCACTGCAAACTGTTGTCATCACACACTGGAATGTTTGCTGAGGCTGTGAATAATGCTTGGTTTATTAGAAAGACTGATTGCTTTTCCTTTTTTACATTAGGAGCCTCAAGATTTGATTATGTATGAGTTGCCTTCACCAAAAAATCTTTAATTTTCTACTGAAGATAAAAAGTTAACAACCTCTTCATGACTTAAGAGTAGTAAGTAAATTAATTAAAGATTTTTTTGGGTGAACTGGCCCTCTAAGACTTGTTTGTGATTTCTAATAATATTATAAACTCCAATTTTTTTTGCATTTAAGGAGGTATTAAAAATAAAAGCAAAACTAGTATATTAAGACTTTTAGATCGTTTGCAATTCACTTTCAGTATTTAAAAAGAGCTGGACTGCTAATTAGAGACTACTTTATTTTCATGAATCTTATACTATGTCTTGTGTTCCTATAACTTCTAAATGAAATGCATTTGACATCCAGGTTGTTTCTTTGTTGGGTTTTCTGCAGCAGTCAGTCTTTGAAGCGTGAGGAAACGTGGGGGGTTTGATGAAAAGTTACACTGGGAGTGGAGGGGGGGTGACTAAACAAAGACGTGTGGCTGAGTTTACGACATCAGACCTTTTTCCAGTTTCTCTTCCTAAATGCTTAAATATGCATTTAAGTTTTTTTGGCCAGTAGTTTGCAATTTTTGGTTTAAAACGTTTTATTTGATAGTTTTAAATGTAAAACACTAAATAAAGAAGTGCAGCCTCCACGGGTTCTGTGATTGTTTGGTCTCTTTGATTGACAGCAGGGGTTGGGCATTTAAATCCCCCAGTTTTACTTAAAAGGGCATGTGGTTCCGCCTCCTTAAAGGGGCAGGTACTGTTTGACGTGTAGCGAGCTGCTGAGGCCATGTGTGAAACAGTGGGTTTAACATCAGCTTGAAACGTGAATATTGCCAGAAGGCATGCAAGAACATCATGCAGCTTGATTGTAAGTGTGAAATTGCTGGCTAGCACTTTTTTTTTGTAGTTTGATTTTAAGATTTCATAAATTCATGCATGTGTAAAGGTTGTTGTTGACTAAAAGTAAAATATATATCCATTTTAAATAAAATAATGGTTTAATAAATAAAATTGCAAATTCTTTTTTTTTAAACTGATCTTATTTTAGCTCATTAGCAAGGACACAATTTATTTTCACGGATATTAAAATCTAATAATAATAAAAGACAAAATTAACATATTCTAACTAACATTACTATGGAGGTTATAAAATAATAATTATAACAATTTGTTTCTAAAATGATTAATTCTATCCTCTATATGAGACTCAAGATTCATTTTTTTTCTTCAACTCAAATATTAAAATAGCATAAATATTAGGGCTGGACTATTTGGCCTAAAATTAAAATATCAATTAATTTAACATTTTAACCCAATTATAATTAATAAACAATTATTATTATTATTTTTCCTCAAAGTTCACTGAACTGATTTGTTGAGTAAATATGCTCACATATTACAAGCAAGATGTTTTTTAATTGAAGGGTGCATTACTGTATTTTAAAGTAAATAAAGGAAATACACACTAACTACCATCTACGATTATTTATTGGACATCAACACTAAACAACTGAAATTAAAACACACATTGCCCAATGCTTTGTTCACACCAGACGTGGCATGCGCAGATAAATTTCGATATTCGAGCGTAGATAGACGTGAACATTTTGAGTGTACTCTATTCATTTGCGTCAAATTAGCTTCGTTTGATTAATCGCCCAGTCCTAATAAATATGCAATTCCACCTTCCATCTCAAAAATAATTTAGCTAATAAAGAAATACTTTAATACAATAAAATATGCTGTTTCCCAGTGATGGGTTGTAGCTGGAAGGGCATCCACTGTGTAAGACATACGGTGAAAAAGATGGCGGTTCATTCCGCTGTGGCGACCTCAGATTAATAAAGGGACTAAACTGAAAAGAAAATGAACGAATGAATAATATGTGCTTTTTCTGTGTTCTTCAGCTGAAATTAAAAAAATGAAATGCATAAAATAGCATATTTAACAAAATGATGTATAGTTTGATAATAATAATAATTAGAGATGATCTGACATAAACTCATCGCAACTGTTTGTTTGTGGGTTTACATGCATTTTAACTTCTTATGCACCAAATATGCAAGGCCAAATGTCTTCCTCATTGGGGTACGTTGAATTATTCGTCCATCATTTACAATGTTTCCTAATTGCATTGTTAGTCAGTTTTGTTACCAATATTTTTTTATCTGTTTATTTATTGTTTTCTGTAAAGCTGTTTCATTTCTGACCATGAATCATCCACACTAAATGGTTATAAGAGACGTGTTTATAGGATTATATGCAGCATCCTTCATTTCTTCTCTTACAAAAGGAGAGAACTTCACTTATATATCATATTTTGAGGGGAAAATGTGCTTTTATGCAATGTTAAAGTTTGAAGCATCAGAATCGGTACTCCTTATCGGCAGATCACCATGAAGAGGAATCGTTATTTGATATCGGCTCCAAAAATTCCGATCCGAGCATCCCTAATATTAATAAATAATATTGGTAATATTGTTGCTATCAGCAACCCTAAAATAATGCTAATAGAATATGACTATCTAGAACAACAACAATTTATTCTTCTTCCTATTTTGTAATTAGTCTTAAGCAAGTCACAGATTGGAGCAGTCTTGAAATGCTCTGACTCTGAATTTTAATTTTAAACAATAGTCCAAAAATGTCACACCCAAAATGTTACACTTATTAGAGAATATGAGTATTTCCCATTATTTTCAATGACGCTTGCATTAGTTATGTTGAATTTTGCCGAGGGGTTTCTGTATCTTCATATTACAACACTGTGGTGCCCACTGGCAGTGTTGATAATGCGGGCTAATCATATTTGGGGAAAGCGTGGTTGATGCGTTTTGTTCGGTTTCTCAAAGGTTCCATGTGGCACCGCTGCCTGCCACCAATGGGATTATCCACCCAGGCCTGGTTGTTATCTGGCTCCATGCACAGGCCGGTTTTGGAAAGCAAGAGCTGCTTGGGGCGAAAACCTCA